TACATAACTTCAGGTAAGAGTTTCCAAAATTTTAATAAAGAAAGAAAAAAACATACCTTTTCTTTTTACAGCTTTTACTAATAATTAGACCAAAGTCTGTTATGTGCTTTTAAAGGAATCTGTTAATTCAAGCACAAGAAATATCAAGCAACTAATAATCATCTTCTACTACATTGTTTTTAAACAAATTTTACTATGAAAAGCATAAGAAATATCAAGCAACTAATAATCACCTTCCATTATATTGTTTTTAAACTGTCATGCACAGTACTGTTTGTTCTTACACTGCTTTTGTCTTCAGAGGATTGTGATATTTAATCACGGTCTTTCCTAACAGACCCCATTAATTTCATCAGACTTACTTAGTACCTTTTTTTATTAAATATTCTTCATCAAATAACCTGAAAAATAATAATTATTATAATTATTATTATGTACCAGATACTGAACTGGTCGCTTTACATGCAGGGATTTTGTTAACTAGTAAAAGTACTTCTCAAGGTAACAAAAAATGCTTTTTTAATTGCAGTTTTCCTACAAAACTAATTTTAAAAGTTTCATTTTGCATATCCTGTTTTGAAAGATATCATTACTATCTCATAAGCAGAATACTTATCACTCTACCACAGATGTCAACTTTGCTATTTGTAAAATTATTAAAATATCCTAAATACCGTAATTTTTGGCTATTCATACTATTTTCAAGAATTTTGGTTTTTTAAAATTTGTCTTTCCTACTTTAAGTTTTTATTTCTATTTGTTTTGTTTTGTTTTTTTGAGACAGGGTGCCATCCTGTCACCCAGGCTAAGTATAGTGGCATGATTACTCACTGTAGCCTCAACCTCCTGGGCTCAAGCAATCCTCCCAAGTAGCTGGAACTACAGGCACATACCACATGGTCAGCTGATTTCTGATTTTTTGTAGAGACAGGATCTCACCATGTTGCCTAGGCTGGTCTTAAACTCCTAGGCTCAAGTGATCTTCCTGCTTCGGCCTTCCAAAATGCTGGGATTACAGGCATGAGCCACCACAGTTGGCCTTTGTTTCTATTTTTAACATATTGTTTTGTTGTTAGAACTAATACTCTAAATTTTAAATTATTCTATTCTATTTTACTTAAACTTATTTTTCATTCTATTTTGATTGAGGTCTTTTTCTTAGTTTGTAGAATTAACAAAGCCTTCTGTAATTCTATTTATTTGTTAACCTTTTGTAGTATTTAAATTTTTCTGGATTCTAAAGCTATTTGTGCTTACCTGAAATTATACCAGTTTTTATATTCTCTAGTCAATACTTGTTTTTACTGATTTTTTTCAAGAAATTATGACCATTTTTAATGGCCAATCTTTTGAGTCACTTTCCTTTAAAATGCTGCTTTTTAAGAAAATTAATTTGTCAGGCTTGTTAAATTATACAGTAATCTCTCTATAGGATGATGGCGCTAGCATCTTCCCGAACTGACTTACAATTGTGACTGTTAATACACTATGTAAGTAAGAGGAACCATCAGCATTTACTTTTAGTTCTTTTGCAGAGATGAATAAACATCTTGAAATGCTGATTTAGACAATGTTTTAAAAATGCTATGATGCACTTTGGTATATCACTGACTCTTGCTTAGTTAAATGTTTTGCAGCATTATAACATAGTTGAATTCAGCTCATCTTTTAAATCAGTTGTCAGAAAAATATGGGCTAGCATGGTAGAATGTATTAGCTCAATACATTGTCTCCATTTTATTATGAAGCTGCTGAGGAAGCTGTGATATACAGCACTGTCATTACAGATCTATTGTTAGGATGGTTCCACAGTCTTCTTTGCACTGCCATTAATTTATAGCAGTAAACAATATGTAGCCTTCCAACTGCAGCAAAGCAGAATCTTTTAATGAGGTGGATGTTATTACCACAATAAATCAGTGCTTTCGCGTAATGTATAATTCAATGTGTGTATTCCCACTGTAAGTTCTCTGAGTAAGCTGATAGTGTATCATTGTCATTGCACAGCTCCACTGGTCTTTTTTTTTTTAAGTTTCTTTTATTTGGGGACTTCTTTTTTATATGCTTGCAAATAAACGTGGTATGTCTTGATAGCTGTCCTATAGCAGACTTCAGAAACCACTATAACAATAACAGCCAAAATCAATACTGTGGGTTCTACCAATATGGATCTCTGCAAGATGCCATTTTTTTTCAGATGCTAGTGAAATCAATCCTAATTGGTTTTAGCATTATATTCAAGAAACGTGATTCTATAACTATTGATTTTGGGGGTTACTCATTTGGAGAGTAATAAAAATAGGAGCAGATAAAGTGAATACTTAATATGCTGCAGAACCATACAAAAGGAGCATTGATTCTATTTTTAATTCATATAATTTGTCTTCTAGTGATTTTATTTCTTCTCTCTTTTCTTTTGCATGGCTCATTCTTTAGGGACAGCAACTAAAATACATTTAAAGGCATTTCAAATTGGTTCTGTAACAAAGAAAGAATCCTTGGAGTCAGCTCCATTCTTAACTGACATATATTTAGTAAGTCAGATATGATTCTTTTGTACAGAAACTAATGCTTTAAAAGATAGTATTTTAAATTTGTTTACTGTGAAACTGATGTAAAATGGTCAACTAAAGATTTTTAAAATTTTGCTTGTAAAGTAAAAAATGCCTTAAAATATAATAATATTTATTAAAACCAAGCTATTGAAAGGATGCCAAAAATAAATAGCTTTGAAAAAATAATGAACAATTTAGTAAAGATAACCAAAATGATAAATTTAAGATGTTGCTTAAAATTATATAATGTGGGCCGGGCACTGTGGCTCATTACATGGTGGCTGTAATCCTAGCATTTTGGGAGACCAAGGCAGGTGGATCACCTGAGGTCGGGAGTTTGAGACCAGCCTGACCAACATGGAGAAACCCCCTGTCTACTGAAAAAAAGAAATTACATAACATGAAAAGCAGTTTAAAAACTGGTTTGAACAGTATTTCTCAATGCATCCATTTTTAACCAGTACTTATTTTAACATTTTCTCCACAAATAATCAGATATTTTCTTTCTCTTATAAATAAGGAGTGATTAACTCATACGTGTTCATAAATGATATAAGGCTAAACCCTCTTTTGTATATTTTTTAAATATTTATTTATTTATTTAGAGATAGGGACTCTCTTTGTCACCCGGGTTGGAGTACAGTGGCACGATCATAGCTCACTGCAGGCTTTAAGATGCCTGGGCTCCTGCAATCCTCCTACCTCAGTCTCCCAAGTAGCTGGGACTACAGGCACATGCCACTATGCCCAACTGATTTTTAAAGGTTTTGTAGAAACAAGGTCTCACTATGTTGCACAGACTGCTCTTCAACTCCAGGACTCAAAGGATCTCCCCCTCGATCTCCCAAAGTACTGGGATTATAGGTGTGAACCGCTGCACCTGGCCTCTGTATCTTATTAAAAGAAGTAATCTTATATATCATATCTTTTTCAGTGAATGGGCTCTTACATTTTTAATAAGGAATAGAGATTTTTCTAGAGATCAGAATGTTTTTAGAGAATGAATTATTACTTAAAGCAGTTGATCTTAACATTCTTTGAGCCTTAGACTCCTTTGAGACTCTCAAACATATTCTGTATGTCTTTGTAAGGAAATGTACATGCATACGCATAATCACACAGGATTTTGCTTGCTATTTAATGGATTTCATGTATAACCTAAATGACAGCAGCAGTAGCAAAAATAAATATACAGGTACCAACTAACATTTATTAAGCTTTATCTTATGCTGAGCAATGTGCTAAAGGCAATTATTTCATTCAAACTCTTTTATCCAAATTCTAAAAGATTATCTTAAAAACCATAGTTAGCATTCATTGAATATTGTCAGGCATAGTTTGTTAGACGTTAATGTGCCTACTCATTTTTATCTTCCAAAACAACCTTCTGAATGAAAGTTATTCATTCCAGTGAGCTCAGGGATTTAACCATGTTACTATACTGCTCTGGGACCTCTGCTATAAAGTACTATTTTCCAGTATAATCTGTCTACTATTCTTTATATATATATATATATATATATATATATATATATATATATAAAATAAAGAAGTTAGAGGATAAAACATTAACTATGCAGGCATATTTTTATCCTCTAACTTCCTTTTTTATATAACATATATGTTATATAAAATATTTATATTTTATATTTATTTATATTTGCTTGCATTAACTATATATATAAACTATATATTATATAGCATAATGTATATGTTATATAAAAAGAAGTTAGTGGATAAAAATATATAATATTTTATAACAGTTAAATAACTATATATTAACTATATATTATATGTATTATATAACTATATATAGTTAATATATATAGTAAATGCAGGAATATAAAAACCCTATGACATATAACTAGAAATTTCTACCAGCGTGAGTGAAACATGCATTTGCAGACATATTTTTATCCTCTGACTTCTGGTTTCACTGACACTGGTAGAAATTTCTAGTTACATCTTAGTCCTGTTTTCCCACAGTTTCTTCCTTGTACTCCATCTCACCTTTCTCCCAGCTTTGTTTCATCCTCTTCTAATAACCCATTATAAGTCAGTCCTACAGCTTTAAGATTCTGTTTCTTGTTGTTGCTTCTAACTAAATGAGGTTTTGTAGGTGCTTTCCAAAGTGGTGTATAGCTGATACTTCATGTAATTGTCTTTATGTGATGCTTGTTACGGGATGATTAAATACCTATGTTCCACAAAAGCTAGATTTATGGAGAAATGATGGGTCTATCCATTCACTTACTTAGACATTGTGTTTAACTTGAATTGAAAAATAAATTTGCTTTTCTATTTACCCCCAAATGATACTGTGTTGCAGCTTAAATAGTATATATTTTCAAAATTCACTTTTATACCTACCAGTAGGATATCATCAGGAGACATGAAGGATGATTACATTTATGTATTCTTGGTTTTTCCCCTCCCTTTTGGCAGCCAATAGGAGCTCTGAACCCAAAAAGAGCAGCATTCTTCGCAGAGCGTTATGAATCATGGGAAGATGATCAAGTTCCAAAGTTTCACTATGGTACTCATTACTCAACTGCAAGTTTTGTTCTTGCATGGCTACTAAGAATAGTAAGTTCAATTTGAATAATACACCATGACTAAATAAGTGTTGTGAAGGATATGCAAAAATTAGAACTCATCAGCATCTTTTTTTGAATACTAAAAAAAGCAGTTTAAATGATTAAAGTTATAATTATAAATATCTCTGTCTCTCATTTGGTTTGTATTAAAAGTGTTTCATCTGGAATTGTATGAACTTTTTTCTTAAAATAGCCTCTTCAGATGGCTATTATCTTACCAGATTATAAATTATAGCATAGATTCTTTTAAAATGTATTCTATTAAAATAAGAACTAAGTATGTTGTTACATAGACATGTATTTATATATTTTGGAAAGTTGTCCCAAATGGAATGAGTTTGTTGGTAACACTAGGCTGTCGTGTATTGATAATATATTGGTTAAACAAGAAATGTTTCTGTGAAATTGAAAGGTGATTCATCTACTAGAAAGCAGTTTCTTTGGGAAAGCATTAGCAGCACATCATTAATTAAAGCTTGTTAGAAGGATACAGGCAGACATAAATCCTAGAAGTAATTTATAGTGCTTAGCTAATTTCAAGCAATTATCCACTAATATGTGTTTAAGTGTTCTTTAACTACGAGGAGGCTTTTAAATCTTCCAAACATTTTTCTTTTCTTAATCATAAATTAAATATTGAGCCATAACAATAGGAAAATTACATACTGGACTATTCTCTGTACTATGAAGAAAATACATCTAATTTATGTCTGCACGATATTAATAAATTATTCTTGGAAAGGAAGGCTACCTGAAGAAAATGTTGCAAACACCAAATTTTTGAAATATTCAGAAATAATTCTTTTGAGGGAAATATAACTTGAAAACATTAGTTTAATAATTTAGGTATGATTTTCATTTTCTACCTAGTTTATATTACTATCTAATGCCTATTAGTTATTAAAATATTTAGATCTAAGGCTTTATAAAAACTACATTTTTATGCATGAGGGAACAAGTGAATTTTTTTAATTGCTATTTTTTTAGGAACCCTTTACAACATTTTTCCTGAATTTGCAAGGAGGTAAATTTGATCATGCAGATCGAACTTTTTCATCAATTTCCAGAGCTTGGCGAAATAGTCAGCGTGATACATCTGATATTAAGGTACAGAAATGTTTTGTTTTATAGTTGTTATTGCCAGTGCATTACTTGTTGAATGAATGTTGAAAATTTTCTCTGCTACCATACATACAGCCCAGCCCTGTTTACTAAAGATAAAACTCAGTAGATAAATCCTTAATTAAATGGCCAAGAATTATAACTGTCTATCTCTCT